TATTAATTTTTATAAAAAAAAAAATAACTTTAAGAAAGGAAAAAAATAAACAAGAGAAAGTTTGCTATTTATAATTATTAAAAACTGCCAGAAAGAAATTTGTTTCTAATTAATAAAGTATTAAAAAATACGCAGTTTAAAAAATTATGCAGTATGTTTGAAGTGTCAGAAATTTTTTTGCGTTAGAAAATTGCGGATTACATTTACATTATTTAATTATGCTCGTCGTATTAATACAACGGTATGTACAGTTAGTATCATCTATATCTATGAAATAACTCTGTTGCACCGAATGCATTCAATCAAAAGATGGAGTACATTGCATTCTCCAATAGATGGCGATAGCGAATGCCTTTGTTGTGTTTATTATGATAAAACATGTGCTACAACAATAGTAGTTCAGATTTAGACAGATTTAGATCATAACATACTGTCGATCAAAATAGCGCTACCCTAATGCAAGAATTGATCGGAAACTGATTATTTTAACTGTTTAGTATCGACCTCTCATGCTGTTTCTCGAAGTAAGAACTTACGTTTTAGTCTCACTTTTTCTTAAATAGAATCTTGATTAAGTCTTGTCACGAGTATCATGGAATTAATCTTGCCTTAAAAATTTATTATATAAATATTAAAGTATTTATATATAATATCTCCAATATATCTTTATATATAATATCTAATATATATCTTTTTCATATTTATTAAAATACTTGAAATATTTCAACAAATTACTTAAAATTGATCACCCAGAGATCCCAAAATTTTTATTTAAAAATAATGTAACTCAATAATTTTTATTTAAAAATAATGTAACTCAAATATTGAAGCTTTAATCTCAAGAAATGATTCTAACGTATTTTCATTGATATGCTGTTTCACAATCGAGGTAACCTTCGAGTAAGCGAACATTATTCATCGAAAGATCGATGTCACAATCGAAATTAGAATTCGATCACGGTTCATTGGCATCGACCGCTAACATTGTGCCCGAACCGGATACCGGATGCATATAAATATATACAGCATAAAATCATGATCCTATACAATTTCGCCATTGATCTCGCTCTATCTATGATTCACGCGCATACCTCCACCATACATATTTATGGTTGCATTGTCCCATTCATACGCGTGACTGTATTCTGTAAAATATGCATGAAACGTGCAAATTTTATACTTAGGCCTGATTTGAATATTTATGTACATTATATATATATATACATTTGCATTTATTCAAATCAAAATTTTAGTTTACAATGTTTATAATTTCTAGTAGCAAAATCGTTATCGGTTGTTTCTCATCTGCAATTTATGATGTCTTTAGCTAAATTGAAAGAGCCATCTTAGAATATTTGTGCATTACGAGAGGTTTTCCAAGTATTAACTATTTAATCGTGTCTTTAAATAAATAGTATTTTTTTCATTATATATAGTAATAAAATACAATTCCATGAATGCCAATGAGACTGGTTAGCAGTCGCATTGACGTTTTCGAGGAATGAGTCGAGAAATTAACTCGGTCCAAAGAAGCCTCGAGTGTCAGGCACTTCGTTAGCAGCGAAATACGGCGTATTTAGACGGCAATGTTTCGCGGTCGAGATAGAGGCCAAATGGGAGCCCTTGATCCTTTGGCGAGTTCAACAAACGTGGTTATTCTTGATGATTTGCTAGATTTATCGGACGATGTGTTCCGTTTTCAATGACGTATATATAAAACTACTCATAAAATACATATTTTATCTTTTTTCGAAATATCAACACGGCTGGAAAGTAATGTTTGCTTTTATGTAAAATAATTCTCGAAATTATTTCGAATTATTATGTAAATTTGGAAACACGGGAAATTGGAGAAATTTTCATTTAATTTTACGTCAGCAAATTAAAAATATATAAAATACAGAGATATGTATTATTTTTACACTTAAAAAAATATAAGTCTTCAAAAAATATTTAAATCAGTATAAAACAAAATTTTAAAAATATAAATAGTTCTTAAAAATAGATACACAATATTATTAAAAAAAATTCTAATTTTAATTATTTGAATAAAATTAGTGAATAAATTTAAAAAACAGCATGAAAAAAATATCTTTTAGAACATCTATAAAGAAGTCCGAAAAGAAAATAGATTATAAAATTTAAGTCCACGTACAATTATATAAGAATGACATTACTTGTTAATATCAGTTTTTGTAATAATTTAATTTCCATTATCCATTACTTACAACTAAGCGTTACCATATTCGGAAATATCGCTGAGGCAACATATACTTTTACCGTCGATTGTTCACGGAGGTGTAACGCGTCGAATTTTTATAACAAGAAGAGAAATTACTTGATTCGATGTATGGAATCGAATGACGCCAAAGAGACGGATTCTCTTGACACATCGGTGAGACTCTTGGTTCGCAGTCACCTACTTGCGCGTATACGGCGAGATGCAGCACGTAATTAGAACGCGCGAGCGGCCGTCATTGGTAACAAACGAGGCTTTGTTGAAACATCATCGGAATACGAAGTAATCGCGATACGGTCTCTCTTTTTCTCTCGAATTAAAGAGCCTCGTTTAACATTGAATACTCCAGGTGTTATGGGTTAAAGATGAATAAAAATCTATCTTAAGTAAAATCATCGTTTCACAGCGATGAGTTTATTTGTTATATAAGTTTTAATTGTGTATTATATTGAGAGTGCGATTATGTAATTGTATTAATTAATTTCTTTTAACGCTCTGCAAGCTTATATAATAAATAAACCCATCGATGTGGAACAATTCTTATAGTTTGCGAAATAAAATATTATCAGGAACGTTGCTTTGTTTATATTCAGGAGAGTCTAACTAATTAAGATTAATAAGAAATTTTCAATAAAGAGAATAACGTTGTAATTTTCCGCAATAAAAATAATAATTAATAATTAATATAATCATTAAAATCTGATAACTCTCTATTTAATAATTATAATAAAAAATAATTCTCTCTCGATTCTTTATCATTCAAAATTTATTACATTGACATATTTAAAAAAAAAAAGATCTTAATTATTTTATTTGATTTTATAGCAGTATAGTTATTGCTTTCCGAAGATAAACTTTTGTGTAAGTTATGTTTGCGAACATATATTCGCGTTTATAACACGATCGCGTTATTAAAAATTGCAAAAGCATGCACAGTAATATATTCCGGAGCAAGTGAAAACTTGTTGATTGCAAGCGAATAAAAGATTGTAAAAAGAAAAAGACGTATCAAGAATATATTATTTAATGCAATGACACCAAAATATTTTGCGTCGACGATATAAAATCCTACGTGTGATTTTAAGAAAGCAGAACGGAGAATTTCTTTGCCGATTGTATGGACTGCGCAAGCAACGTTATTTGAAAATTCATAGGAATTCGTGTTCGTTTCTGGTATAAAGCAGAAAGTGTAGCGATACCCGCAGGCTGCTGTGTGAAATTGAATATAATTCGCGTGTATCACTTCAACTGCGAGAAATAACTGTGAGGCGCTCGTAGCTTCTGTCTCTTGAAGCGAGACATCTGCCAGATGTTCCTCCTCGAAAGCGATTGTTCGCGCGATCGTATGTGCTCTTCTTTCTCGAAAGTTATTCAATGCAACCGAAAGTAGTATAAATTGATAAAAAAAATTTTGCTAATGTTTATTTTCTCTCTTACATTTAAAAAATATATATTTATGTATTTTATCTTAAGATTTTCGAATATATTTAAATACTTTTAGAAATTAATTATAGAAATTATTCTTGCGTAATTATTTTAAATATTTTAAATATTATTACACCGTTTATACTGATGCTAAATATCAGTTAAGCAAATTCTGAAGAAATTTGTCTAATATGTCATGTAATGATTCAAAATAATATTTTTCGCGGCTCGTCAGATTTAACAAACCACATAGGTTATTACGTTCGGTTCCTGAACGACTATATTTAAATCGAACTTCCTGCACGACCTCGTTATCTAATCGTAACACCTCCTGCGTCATTATATTACCGCTCACCTATAATCGTTCTCGATGTTCTTTTCCACAACTTTCTATTTTTTATTAAAATGCGCGAAAGGGAGCGAGTAATATCGACACGCTATTTACTCTGCGAAAATACTGGGCCGCGTTTTTCCCCCTTATCCTACACCTATCTCCGCATTTGCGTTTGCGAGCTTCCTTCAAAGAGCTTGAAACTTTCTACGTTTCTCGCGGTTGCGCCGCGCCGCTTGTCAGCGTCAGCTGATCGCCGTGAATGCACCGCGTGCGCGTGCAAGCCACCGCGAATCAAAGCGGCCCCTGATAGGCTTTGTTATTACGAGCGGAGCTGGAGCCGACAGAACTCGGACGAGCTCAGTCAGAGTTTAATGTCGCTGCCAGGCGGAATCGTAGTCGCCACCGCCGCCGCCGTCGCCGCCGTCGTTGTAGCTCGTGATACTCCACGTCGAGTCGCCTAGTCGGCCAGTATCGGTCCGGTATCGTCCGTAGTTGCAACCGAGCAACATACCGCTTGTATTTCTCGAACGCAATAAAACGAGCGCGAATTCCGTGGATTCCCGGGCGGTCAAATCGGGTTCATCTTATCTCTTTTTTTTCCATTTCGCGGTGCCAAGAGAGTTCGATCGCCAAGTGCATTCCGATTTAGTTAACGCGGGAGACCCCTCGGTCCTCGCGACTTGATTTTTCGACGCATTTGTTGGCGGAATCGCTCGCGCAAAGGGAGTCTCTCGTGGCATGATGAAGGCGTGAAGTCGCGATTTGCGACGGCCAGGAAGCATGATTTATCACAAACCAACGACGCCGCGATTCCGTATCGCCGAACGGATCTGCGTGCAGCCTCCTAACAATCGGCCGATTTATAGTAAACAGAACAGTCACAGCAGCACGTGCAGCCTTAGAAGCGTTGGTTCTACGCCGCCATGCATAAGCCGGTAAATACTGTTCGTTTAGTCAGTTTAGTCCATTGACATATTCGCTGCGATATAGTTATTTGACAGAATTAGATATTCCAGCGATTCGAAAAATATTAAATAAATAAACTTAAAAATTTAATCTTAAAAGTTTAATAAAATTCGGAGATAATTAAGTTTCTATTAGCATTTAATATATCGAAAGGACAAGTACTTTAAAAATTATTTCTTAAATAATCTATGCTCGCGATTTATTAATTTGTAATTTTTTTAAAAATGATAGCTTCAAATATACCTGCGTATATAAATTATTAAAGAAATCATTTTTGAAATATTTAATAATAATACGATATAACGCGATTTTTAGGTTGATTTATGATAAATATAATTTATGCGGTATTATAATTCGTTATATTATAATCATATCATAATTATATAATAATCCGTGTGTTTCTATATGTTTATTAATATTGGCAAATGTATATTAACAAAGAAAATAATTAATAATTTTAAGTACTAATTAAATGTTGCCATAATTTCCACGAATATTTAATTTTTATACTGTACAACTAATAAGAGCTTCGCTTGTAGTAAAAATCTGAAATTGCGTTGAGAGCTCATGTCGCATCGGAAAACGTTACCTCAATTGAGAACGCAGCACGCGCCATGATGCAGCGCGATTTTGTATAACGGTAACGAAAACTGAGCCATGATCGACTGAAGATTGTTTCAGCGATTTACAAGATATGTCGGTAAATCAAACCGTTATATCCAAAAATTGCCAGCTGTTTTATACATCAAATACTATTATACGAGAGCGATAATATCTGCTTTCAAGCGACGTAAATAATTACGTCAATTTGTAGCCAATAAAAAGTTTTGAGAGATTTTAAGAAAGTTAAGATGCCAGTTTTTTTTTTCAAAAAAATTTATATCCGGTTTTACGAGAAACAAGTAACATTTCGCGAATTCACACGCTGCTCATGCAGTCACTTAAGAGATAATTCCTAATCCCTTGTATATGCACCGCCGGAAGGTGCGAGTGTAAATTCGAAGAGGGCAAGACGGCTATGTTAGAAGTCGGAGAATAACAATCCCGATAAATCACGTCTCGCTTGAATAATCGGGAGAACCTCGTAACTTCTCGGACTTCTTCATTTCTATTTGATGTACGAAAATCGCGGTCATGGTTAATTCCCAGGCTCATTCTTCACAAGTGAAAAAGGATAGGTGCTTTAACAGGATATAGTGAATTATCTATAATGATTTGATAGAGAAAATCTTTGTATTCTGAAAAGCAGGAAGAAATATATTATCTATAATAATTTAACGCTACAATAAAAAATATTTTTTTAAACTTTCTTAAACAAAAATTGTTAAGTAAACATCAATGTGTTATTTTATATTTAAATTTCAATAATTTACACGTAATTTATTTTTTAATTTATCTGGAAGGTCATCCATGAATCTCGAACTTTTCCTGGATAAAAAAGTGTAAAGTTTCGGACTTATAACTGTCTGCTTCTCAGATTCGGACGTGTTTTATCTGTCTAGCAATTATACGCAGTTATTGCGTGTAGCATGTGATCTCTGGCTGGATTTACACCGGCTTAGCAGCGAGATTACCGGTCGGGACGGAAAATGTCAACAGAAATGGGAGATTAAAAATGACAGACGCGATTGTAGCAGTCCCGGCCGTAAATTCCTCCCGATTTTAAGAGAATTTATGATCGCGTGCATGAGATTGACGAGACTTGACTGCTGTCGGGAATTATTCGCGTCCATTCTGGCATTTGCAGCATAAAGCAGCCATTGGGGAGCAAAGGACCTTCTCCGGTTCACACGAGTACACCTGTCCGGTCTGGAATCCAGTCGCCGAAGCCCACAATCAATGGATCAGATCCAATCGCGTAAGTTCTCACATGCTATATCGCCGTAAAAATCTTTCTTTAATCCTGCTGTGAAGCGTAAGCGAAAATTTATGGCTCTGTCAAAGGCATTGCTTCATCTAATATATCGGTAGTGCTTACAGTGAATGGCTTTTTTTCTGATCCCCCGCAGCAATAAATTCTTAAATCTCTTTCAGTTTGTTACTTTTTCATATTTTATGTTTGTTAATTAACGAATATATTTAATTTTTATCCTTTTTTGTTATTATACTTGTTATATTCATATATTTATTATATTTTTCTATTTTTTTATATATTATTTGTATCTTCCTATTTCTTTCTGTAAAATTATTTATTTTTACAACGTGAGCATATATTGATTGTTGCAGGAGACAAAACTCGATGCCAGGTGGCATTTATGACTCAAGGGTGTCGGAGGGACATTATGATATCATCAAATCAAAGGTAAGTCAATTACTAAACTATCGCATGGTGTCTATTTTAGCACACCCTGTCTATTTTATATCCATAAATCTCTGACTATTTTAATTTTCAAGGATGTAATATTGCATTTATAGCGTTAAATTGTTTAATACGATAATTAATCATTTGATTATCATGAACATTAATCGTAAGCATGTCGATACATCACCTCAACTCATATGGTCATTTTATCACCACATTTATGATAATGTACCGGTTGTCTCGTCGTTATAAAAATTGCACGTTAACTCGTCACTCGCGTCTCGCGAGCTTTCTATCCGTCCTTCCTTATTTCCGTAGACTTTGACGTAAAACCTATAATTCGTTTATAGTGTTATTCGCCAGAGAAATCGGCTTTCGCACACATTTTCCGTAAATCGATTAAAATACCGGGCACATAAAGTCACTCTAAGTCCCCCTGTGTATAGTTTCCGGTGTAACTCGTAAGAAATTTTAAGCTTGTTACCGCGCCTTCCCCCAGTTTTGCGTCGAGCAGGAGTTTAATGAACAATATAAAAGACTTATGCATCGATAAATATCTAACAGGATATCGCGTATAAATCTGAATAATCATGAATGATAATTGCCGAATTTTTTTAGAAGATATGTTGGAATTATTATAAGCTTAAAATTATCTCACTTCATAAATTGGATATCACAAAGCAAAAAAAAATTCATCTTTTTTTTCGTATATATATAAGTATATGAAAAAAAAATTTTTTTTAGTTTGTAATTTCTCAGGTTAGTATCTTTAACAGATAGTATCTTTTAACAGATTATTTCTCTGCAAATGCGCGTTATTATAATTTAGTATTTATTTTGCAATTTATATAATCCTTATATGTGAATTAATACGAATTTTTCCAGTTGTTCATAAGAAGTATATAGATTCTTCATCTTATTGCTGATCTATTTATGGCTTAATTCTCTTCTCGTTATTGATTAGTCGTGGTTATTAAGAAATTGTCAATTGAACATCGTAATTGTCTCAACTGTCAATTAGCTATGGGATAATCTTCCGTATTCTCTTCTTTTGACTCGATAGACCTTATTTCTCGTTATATTTTTTATTATATTCTGTTTGTCTACTCGCTTTCTTGAAACGTATTTTTATATCGAACATTTTGATGACTTTTGCTCCTTCATAGAGGAAGCTTTGTTTTTTGAATTTGGTGAGTACCGGTGAAAGGGTTCATTTTTTGTAAAATTTTGAATTTTTTGAAAAATGTCTTTACACGCTGTAACTTTCAGAAAATTTGAGATATCGGATTAAATTTTTTTACATGAATAGAGTATTATTAAAGGATGGTTGGTACTGAATAATATGTTATTAATATGTATATGTTAATTTTCTATATTATTTCAAAATCTATGTATACATATAATATTGATCTACAATTTCTCGTTCTTGATACTGCGATTTATTGCATTAATGTTTTTCGAATACGCGAATCGGTTCATGTCCATATGCAATATAAAATTGCGTGTTTCCGCGCGATATAATACAACAATAGTACAGTATTAGTCAAAAATTTGCATGACAATTGCTGTTTCTATTCTCGATATGTCGGAAATGTAGTAGTGATAAAAAAGAGCCAAATAACGGCTTATTTACTACGAACAAAAGTAACAAATGAGCAAATGATGCCATTCGGCTACATATTTCCTCGAACGTGCTTTTTCAGGGAAATAACGATGAGTGTTTACATTTGACCTTCATTTATATTATATTTTTTTCTGTCCTTGCACCACGCGCGTATATATCATTCTTATTATCTGCTTAATCTTGAAATCACAATATACAGAGTACGACTGAAGAATTCACGTGAGAAATTGATTTGAAATTATTTACACTTTTAATAATTTTTAATAAATTTTTTATAACGCACGAATTTTGATAATTTTCTGCGAACAAAATCCGTGCTATTATAACATTAATTTGTCTTGGATATATGAAGTATATTTTTGTGACTAGCTGCATTGATGAGAGAAGCATCTATGATGAAGCAATATTAAATGATAAGATCGAAAAGTTTATCTTTTTGCAAAAGAAATATATTGCTGCTCTGGATTAAGCGACCTCGATATCGATGCGATCACATTATGTAACGTAATAATTCCGCGGAAGTGCCGTGACGTCAACTAGGTGCGGATAAGCTCGGTAGCTATAAACGACACGTTTTATAATTCTCGGTGCATCACTTGACTTGTTAAATATCAAAGACGGATTATTATGATTCCCGCTACTCTTTTAATGCGTATTTACCTATTTTTACCACTGCCATGTCTTACTTAGAACGCTTATTTGTCATTCACGAGATGCGAGAGGGTCTAGTTGATCCAGTTACCTTTTTCTTTTATTCGCGTAAAAAGCACGGTACATCGTCAGCAACAAGGATGCAATATATCAAACTGTCGAAGAACAGCGGAAGCTACGGTAACTATAACGAAGATTGAAACGTTGTGTTTGTCATAAGTGTGTCGCAGCTTACCAATTCTTCAGTTTCATCCGTTTGTCTTTGTATGATCAATCTAATGAATTGCGAATCGGCTATGAAAGTTCATGTTGACATACCTCGTGAATATCCATTCGCGTTCTACATTCGCGAACCTCGTACGCATCTAAGATTTTTACGTCATAAATACATTAACTCGTGTGCTCGATTCTCGAATTAATAAAGACAACAGTTGCAGGCGGTTTCTCTTTAGTGAAAATTTAATTATTGAATTATGACTACACGTAAAATACTTAACACACATTATATTTTCAACGATATATATAATCCATCTTTTACAATTTAAATTACTTTAAGTTTTAATATTATTTTAACAATTAGGTTTATATTAAAGTTATTTAATGTTTTTTTTTTTTTTTTTTTTTTTTATTTTTGTTTTTTATTTATACATACAACATACTAATATAATTTTTTCTTCTTCTATATGTTTAATGGATAGAAGCACTTTGCGTGCACATCTGCATATATTTCAACTTTTTGTCACCGAATGATTTACATTTGACAACATAGATAATCACAATCAGGCAACGAAGAGGTGGCACCACACGGTTGATGGACCGAAAAAAATGAAACTTACTCATGATATGCACGCGAGGGCTGATACTAGCGTGCCGGAATACTCAAGCTGCCTTCTAAACCGAATGAAATGGAATATCTTTGCGCCATAATAAACTGGAGCAGCCCAGTTTCGGTGCTGCACGAAATTAAACGTAATTTAGCGGTATTGGAAGTGGGAAGAAGATTGATGGACGATCGTAGATTCCCAGCAGCACGACCATAGGTCGAATGATTCTTTTCTTTATGACGTGCCGTTTGTTTCAATTCGCGGCTCATGTTTCTCCATGAGTTATGCTCATGCGAAAACATTTTCTCGAATAACGCGCTCGCCTTGGGTTAATTATAAGTTAATTTGGGAAGCAGTTCTATGTGAAATCGATTAACGTTCCACAAATAAACTGCAGCGGATAATGCAATAATCCGACGAGACCTTTGAACACCTACATTCGAAATTCTAATGCCCATTCTCGTCCGATGTTAGATTATGTTGACGCTAATGACGCAGCTGCGGAATGCAAATGCACGTAAATACATAAGAGCGCCGATGTTATCATCGTGTTGCCGCATACAATTAGAAGACGCGTCGTGTTATTGACAAAAATGGCATTCCGTGGGCGCTTTTCCGAGATTTTTCGATCGTCATCCGATAATTATGTAGAGGCTACTTCACGGTCGTTAGTATTTATAAAAGCAAAGCCGTGAAATAAAGCTAATTTGAATTAGACGAGTGGTTTAATCGAGCCTGAAGCGTGCGTGCTCTTCCAAAATTTTCAAGCTCTTTTATAGACGTAACAATTGACACGTGGACTCACGTTTGTAACGTGACACGTGTGTTTGTGCAAGTTTTTTCAAGGGAGTGTACCCTTTTTTGACGTATGAAGCCGCTATTTATCTTCAGTTGTCAAGGTGAACGGGCCACCACTTCTTCGTGTAGGTGTCAAAGAGAAGCCAGGTAACTTGATAACCCGCAAACATGCGCGCGTTTCCTTCTTACAATACGTGACTTGCAACCGACCACCGGTTGCAATATGCGCGATAAAATTTTACGATTGTGGCACTATATTTCGTGACGGTTTTATTCTTCAAAAGGATAAACACGTATCAAATGTTCTCACATGATGTATTAAGTGCAACATCCTTCGAGAAGATTAAATTGCATCCTGCATTTTTTTAATTATATCAAGAAATTACATTTAAATAAAAAATTATATATTCAATATTTATATCGGAAGGTGTAGAAACCTTTGAAGATATTTGGCAAAAAGTTCATAATGCCACCAACAGCAATCAAAAGGAAAAGTACGAGGCTGATCTCAAAAAGGAAATTAAGAAACTTCAAAGGTTACGCGATCAAATTAAGAGCTGGATCGCGTCAGGTGAAATAAAAGATAAGAGTACATTACTTGACTATCGGAAGTTGATCGAAACTGTTAGTATGCTTGCCAAGTAATAGCATGTATATATATATATATATATATAATTATTATAATTACGATAAAATTAACATATTTGCATTAATTGTGATTAATGCGATAACAATTTACATTCGCAGTAATTTTAATTAATTTATTAATTCATACATATAATTAGGTCTCTTTTCAGACAAATTATATTGCTTTCGTATAATCATAAATTAACCTGTTTTTATATATGAATGTTAAATTTATAGCATTGCTGTTATAGTTTACAAAAATCTTATTTGCGTAACGGTGCGGTATGCAAATACAGCTGCAATCCATTCTGTGCATGTTGTCTCTATAGAGTACAACGCAATTGTAGCTCCATCTTGTCGGCTATATGAAAGAATGATTCTACACATTCACCGGAGAGATATTATACTTTTAAATATCTCCTCTACCTTCCCGTTAATCAAGAGTAGATGGCGCCAGCCAATAATAGTTGTTAATG